AAAATTTAGTTGGGCATATTCTTGCGCGATCAATTCCAACTTCTCTGTTACGCACATGGACTATTACAAATCGTGTTATCCACTATATCAAATCGTTCAATTAACCCTTCTTATTAGCAAAATAAATACATCTAAAACAATACGCAGTGAGAAAAGTTATAAATGTAATGTAGATCATGATTTGCCGGGGCAAAGATAAGTGCGTCGCGACACGATTTTGTTTACCCTCTGATTTCTGTCACATTGTTCGAATATTTACCTCCGTGATAAAAAAGTCAAATTATCGCAATTAGATTTTACGAGATCTATCGTACCGTTGAATTGCAATGATTTCTTCCTTTCAATTCAAATTTCGAAAACTTTCACTTTCTCAGAAACGTTGTACGTTACATGTATTCTGTAAATATTCGCTTTGTAAATTTGCTAAAAAAAAAAAAAAAAAAAAAAAAGAAAAAATCGACTTACCCGATGAATCGGATCGATGATCGATTGATAGAAGGAACAGTGCGCGCAACAATGCGATCGAATCACGCTGCGCGCGTGCTAATTTTTGAATCGAGTTGCTGAGCACGTTTCAATTTAGTGTATGCGAAATGTTGTTCTTCCCGCGAGCGCGATCGTCGTACTATCGGTGCGTTCTGTTCTCATGGAGTGCCGGGTGTACCCATGAGAACAGAGCCCTTCGCATCGTACGAATACATGTGTGCGTCAGAAATCAACTATCTCTTTCCCTCTCCATCACCCTTTGCTTTTGGTGTTCTATCTGTCTTTCTCTCGCTATGTTTCTCTCTTTCTCTTTCTCTGTGCCCCGCCATTCTTTTGCCCCCTTTCACCGATCTCCGAACGATGTCCTCCCTCTTCGTCGTTTTTCTTATGCATGTACCTTTGCCATGTAGCCAGAGATCCTACGCGAACGCGTGCTTGCGCGCGCACAAACATACACGCGGTTTACGAAACCGCGTGTGCCTCGGTAGAGACATACGTATTCGAAACTTAAATGAATGGCTTATACCTTATATAGCAGACAGTTCGATAATTGGCACACGCGTAAGTTAAATCACGAGTATTGCGAAATTTTTTTAAGGATAAAAATACGTGGTGTGTTTTTGACAAACACTCGGTTTAATATTTACGTTTCAAATAAACAGATAGATCACTGTATATGGTGTAAAATTGTTTCAGTCGATTCCCAAATGTTACATTCGGATGCTTGGCACAATTATACATAACGTACGAATGTTTTTTTCTAATCTTGACGGATTTCGCTAATCGCTTGCTTCCTTATTACAAATGGTAACAAAATTATGTAATGAAAGTGAAACAAACTGTAACACGCAATATGTCAGTCCATAAACGATGATTTAATTAATGTACAATTTACAAAAATTAGTGTGAGAATTACTTGACCGCTAGGGATGATGTTTGTATAATTGGATTGAGGTCAGTCACGTGATTGTTTTAATTATTCTGCCCCTCCTTTCTCATATATTCGGCTAAATTTGTTTCGCTCTTTTTTACCATCCAAGAATACAAATTAAGAAATACGCATAACTTATATCAACGCAATTTCATTTTTGTTCAACGTTTGTGTAATTCTCTGTTAAAAATTATTTACAAAGTTATCATGAATTCTCGTGTTAATATATAAAATTATTGAATAGAAACTTATTGTTATAATATATAAAATTATTGTAAAATGACAACTAATATGTATTTGTTACAAACGTTTATTCAAGAAAGAAATTTATTAAAAATAAATGAGTCATTTAATACTTAGCATAAAAATTACTTCTTAGACATACTGATACAATGTTGAAAAAAAATACATAGAGAGCTAGTTCTGAATAACATTATATGTAAAATAAACATAATATGCAATTCTAAATGATGTAAAAGATAGCACGACAAAATAAATAATGAATGTAAAATTTAATACTTAATTACTAATATTTAAATCTCAAATTAATATCTATGCAATTGTTGAAAATTTAAACGCACGCATTTGTTATATCATTCTTGTTAAACATAAGGAATGATCACTTTAGATGTGTTGTACTAAAATTATATCTTGATAATTAGCACATTTATTTAAGGCACTTTAATCACCAAGTTATGACAATTTTCTTTACTCAAAAAATCCTTAACAGAATAATTGATTCTGCCATAGAAGTATGATTTTCAGAAAACAATCAAAATACTCAGATTTTATTTATTAAATGAAATACCAAGCTGTTATGGTAAATCCAAAATATAAGTACTATTTAAATTGTAATTAAGAACTAAGGGATTTTATAGACATATATACAGAATTCCTTTGTTGACTTTTTGAGATAATATTTTGAAAGAAAAAGTTCAGGCAACAGATTATATTAATGATATGTCACAAATGAAGTTAGGAGAAACAAAATTGCTACTCTGTTTCTTAGAATCAGTAAATTTTAAATAATTTGAATCTATGTGAATCAATTTGTCATTTAACGTTGATTTTACAAGCCAATAGAATGGTTTGCTGAATTATTTCATGGATATTACTAGTGATCTAGTGCATTATTTACAAATCGTTACAATGTTGTCAGTACGGTTAATTCTCTGGTGGTGGGGATGTTATTTTCCTTTTAAAGAGTAAAATATGAGGTTCTGAAATTAAAAAATTAATTTTATATTAAGAACGCATTTAAATGTAATTCAAAGTAAAAGATAATAAAACTGAAATAATATAAAAAGAATTCAACAGGTTGGCATACCTGGTTTATGAATCATGTAATGAACCCATCCTTGACTTTGTTGGACACCGATAGCTCTCCATTCTTGTTCCGAGAGGAGATGAGTAGTTGGAACCAATTTAATCATTTCTTTTGGCAATACTACATGTCTAATAAAAAAAGGCATATTTGTAATATCTCTATTACTAAAAATATTATGTTTTTATTGGGATCTAATATTATGTATAACTAATATATTTTTATAATGATAAATTTTAATAATGATAAATTTTAATAATTATTTAACAGTTATTTTAAAACAAATAAATTTAAATTAAAATAATAATGTAAAAGGAAATAATAAGTACAATGAGAAATGTGCCAAATTAGAAAATAAAAAAATACTCTTATTTAACTAAAAATATACATATTTCAATAAATAAAATCATGCAATTTTTATGATTATATTAGTATTATTTAATATTTTATCTACTTTTCCTCTTAATCTCAGTTTCAATATTACTTAAGAATGAAGAGTAAAACAAACAAAAAGATCATGCCAGGCAGCCATTTAAACAAAACGTTACATTTACATCCAAAAATTTGACAAAGTTATCGAATTAGGCAAAATGTGACAATATAGGTTCTTTGTTACAAGAAAATTTTCAAACAGTATTGTTGAAAAACACATCAGCATGAATATATAATCAGAGAATGATACTTGTATATATATAACAAAAGGATTCAAAATGGCACAATTGGGCAAAATCGAAATTTAAAGAAAGGCATTAATGCTGGTGCTATTCATACCTGTATTCGTATTTATCGTCGTAGTATTTATCCGAGTAATACATCTTGTTCGACATATTGATTTAATTCCAATTGTCACAAATTCTTGAGGCAACTCACCACTAAACACACTATAAATCAGAGCTGAGTATTTTCGAAAACCTACCTTCAATAACGTATGCTCACAAATTTGAAAGTTTAACGGATGTAACATTAAGAAGTGGACGAAAACTACTCTCTAATCGTTGAGAGTTAATTAAAAAACAAATCACGTAAAAAATAGAGGCGACAATCGAATAATTTCTATTAATTTATTATGTTTTTATAAGTTTATAAAGATATTTAGTATTTATTGTGTATTATTATTTTATTAAATATAAACGGAAATTATATACGTATAGTACACCGGAATCAGCTGTCCTAATATTCAATAATGGCGGTCAACGCACTAAAAAAGTATCTTTTGTGAGGTTAAGTGTTAAAATGGTAAAATCAAACTTTTGTAAAAAAATATAATAATTATACTTTTATTGAAAAATGGAAAAGCATTCTCATAAGAAAGATTATGAAAGATTTAAAAAGGATGATAGAGATCGGCATAAATATAAAGACAGAATTTCACGTAGGAATAGTGACAGTGATTATGATAGCCGTTCTAAAAGATCAAAATCAAGGCATAAACATTCGAAAAGTTCAGGTCAAAAATATAAAAAATCTGAACGTAGAGATTTCCTTGAATCGCGTGAATCTCATAAAAAATCTTCGAAACATAAAAGCAGAAGAAGGTTAGTTTAACACTTTCATATAGTTATGAGGTTATGATTTAAGAGTTTATTATTATTATTTTCTATTTTCTTTTATTTTAGGTCATCATCTTCATCATCGTCAACAAGTCAAAGTGATTCTAGCAATTCATCTTCATCCAATTCTTCGTCAGATTCTACAAAGCTCTTAGAAAAGCTTCAAAAACAACGTCAAAAACAAATCGAGGACAGAAAGCGTCAAAAAGAATTGATGAAAGCTACAGAAACACCAGAAGAAAAGAGATTACGTCGTTTAAAAAAGAAAGAAGCTAAAGAACGTAAAAGAAAAGAGAGAATGGGCTGGGACAATGACTATTTACATTATACAAATACGGATAATCCATTTGGTGATGGAAATTTACTTTCCACATTTGTATGGTCTAAAAAACTTGAGAAAGAAGGCTTGCTTGGCGTAAGCAGGGAAGAATTAGAAATTAGAAATAGGCACAAACAAGAAGAAAATAAAAGAGAATTAGAAAAAGTTAAGAAAAGAAGGCAAGAGAGAGAATTAGAAAGGCAACAAAGAGAAGAGGAAATGACAATGCTACAAAGAGGAAAAGAAGCTGCTCAATTGGAACAATGGGCAAGACAAGAAGACCAATTTCATTTAGAGCAAGCAAGATTAAGATCACGTATTCGAATACAAGATGGTCGCGCAAAACCCATTGATCTTCTTGCTAAATACATCAGTGCAGAAGAAGAAGTTGATGCTGTAGAAATGCATGAGCCTTACACTTATTTACGTGGATTACATGTGAAGGATTTAGAAGACCTCATTGAAGATATTAAAGTTTATAAAGAATTAGAACGTGGAAAAAATTTAGATTATTGGAATGACATTACAGTAATTGTTGAGGATGAACTGCATAAATTAAGAAAATTAGAGAGATCAGAGTATGAAGTTGGTAAGTATTTTTTATTAAGTCTGAGTGAAATTCTTTTTAACTTTCCTTAAAAATTTTTTGATAATTTGGTATATTCTTCTAGCTGTTGGTAGAAGAGAGGGAATACATGAATCAGTTGCTAAAGATGTAACTGCTATTTTTAAAGGAAAAACAGCAGCGCAATTAGAAGCCTTGCAATTACAAATTGAAGCAAAAATTACAGGAAAACCTGAAGGTGTTGATATAGGATATTGGGAAAGTCTTTTATCCCAACTCAAAGGTAAGCGTTAAAAATTATCTATATATAAATTATCTTATTTAACTTGCACGTTTGTACTAGCCATTTATTCTCCTCAGCGCATATGGCGAGAGCACGGTTAAGAGATCGACACCAAGAAAATTTGCGTAAAAAATTGGAAGTTTTAATTGCCGAACAAGGTGTGGCTAGAACGGAAAATGAAACGGAGAGTTCACAAGCAGTTGGTGAGCAGTCAGAAAAACAAGAAGAGCAAACTACCAGTGCAGTTGCAGAAAAAAGTGAAGAAAGTCAGTCAGAGTATGTATTATTTCTGCCATATATATGTGCATGTGAAAAATTCAAATTTATGCAAATATTTTTTATATATTACAGCGATGATCAAGAAGTTAGTAATGCAGCTGATGATCTTTTGTCAGAGTCTTTCTGTGAATATGAATCAGGAGGCTATTCCCCAAAATATATACCTTATTCTCAACTTGAACCAGGAACTCTAGTAACTTTGGAAGAGGATGACAATCAGCGATTAGAATATGCAAGAAATCAAGTACTCAGTACGGGTCGCAAAATTCAGAATGTTATGACTGTTGAAGAACAAGCAATGCATAGAGAAGCACGGAAGAATATGAGCTCTGACGAAGCACAATTTAGCGTTGAATCATCTTTAGAAGCACAAATTTATCTTTGGTCTGATAAATATAGGCCCAGAAAACCAAGATATTTCAATCGCGTTCATACTGGTTTTGAATGGAATAAATATAATCAAACTCATTATGATATGGATAATCCACCACCAAAAATCGTTCAAGGGTATAAATTTAATATATTTTATCCAGACCTAATAGATAAAAACACAACTCCTGAATATTTCTTGGTGAGATATATTGAGATATATTGTTTAAAACTAATTTTATCCTGTTGCTAATGATTCAAATATTTCATTAATTAAAGTTATCATTTTCAGACACCCTGTGCAGATAATAAAGACTTCGCTATATTGCGATTTCATGCAGGCCCACCTTATGAAGATATCGCATTTAAAATCGTTAATAGAGAATGGGAATATTCATATAAACGTGGATTTAGATGCCAATTCCATAATAACATTTTCCAGTTGTGGTTTCACTTCAAGCGTTATCGATACCGACGATAATGTATTAATGTGTGTGTGTATATATATATGTTATATACTTATTGTAAATAGAAGATATTTACTTTTTATAGAAATTCTATTATAAACCCACGTTTTCAATGACGTACGTATATGAATGAAGTTGCGTGATTGTGCAAAAGCAATTTTCTATGTGAAACGTACCCGCACGGTATTAAATAAAATATTATTACAAAATTGAAGGCATTATGCAAACAACGTTTCACTTTACCGTCTATATAATTTACCAATTAATCCAATAAATCCCAATGCAAAAATTAATTACAAAAGGTAGTAAAACGTTTGACATATTAATAAAAAAAAAAAAAAAAAAGCATTACTCATCTGTACTCGAAATGATTCTTTATACGTATCCGTGTTTAAAATGTCAGTGTAGTTAACAAACTTTCATCTAACGACGTGAACATGCACAAACGAACAACAGTATAGTTGTTTAATAGTAGTTGTTGGATCGATTTTCGTAGCCACCTGTATTCTCACACAGTCGACCACAATACGAAAGGTAAAAAGCTATATGTAGCCAATGGCAAGGTAAACCGAAGCTCAGTGTACCGGCTGTTTCGCTGTCAAAGGGCTACACGTTTAATTTTCCTCCACAAAAGTCGCGCACAATTCAAATCAATAGAATGAAGTTTCTTGATTGAAGAAAACAAGATAAAATCTGTTTTAACGATCTCCGTGAACTAGCTAACGTAAATACGTATTTTTGTTGGTTGCTTAAATAATGCTTGTGTAACACCTCCATCGTATAATATTTGAAAAAGAAGACGTGCATCTATGTTTTATTTTAGAAATTCATAATTGTTTCGTGTGTAGAGTACTATATTTAAGTTGATATATATATATATATATATATTGTGCGATCGAATTGATATTTATGTAGATAAATATATATGTAAATATATCATTGAAACTATAAATTTCTTTATGGCGATCGAAAAGAATTACGGAATAATTTGTATGACATTATGAATATTTTATTGGAAGCTAAATTCAATGAACTGACAGTGAGAAAGAACAATTTAAAAATTGAAGACAAATCAAACGATCACGATAACCATATATGTCGATGAAACAGAAATTTTTAACAATCGATTGAAAAAAATGATGAAAATTCAAGCGTGTCCTAGTATCGTCAATATTTTTTATATCGTAAAACACGATAAATTTCTATGAATGTCTGTTATGAAATTTCAAATACGCATTTACTTATTTTTGAAATAAAAAATTGAGATAAAAAAATTTTTTTTTTTTTTATGTCAGTGCTATCGAAATAACGTAATATTTCCAATTGTTTGTAACGTTGTTTGTAAAGTCAAAGTGATTATTCATTACAATCACGGCGTCAACTGCAAAAATCATGAAATGGAAAAAGAGCCCGACGGAGTTTCTATCCGAGAAAACGTTCCTAGTGATTAAGGATGATTTGAATATGTTGGAAAGTAAGTAGAGATTATCATATTTTCATTACAACAATATTTCAATTTCATTTCATGTATGTATTAAAAAACAAAGATTTTAATTAATTATATACGTATCAAATTGAATTTGATTTGTTAGAAAAGTAATGATAATAGAGAAAAAAAGTGATTAATTAGTTAGCATTAAAAAACTATACAAAAGACTATTATTGATTTATTTTATGTACGGATTTTCTTTCATGCAAATGAAACTACAAGACTGGAAAACCAGGACAAATGTAGGCAATAATTTCTTCTAAATTAGCGCTAGAAGTAGTGAATTCCAATTCTGAGTACAAAAATGTACCGTCCTTTAAAAATAGAGTGTACCTTGAACTTTAAATATGATGTGTCACACTACATTATAGTTTCGTTTATTGGGTTTGACCAATCCATAGCTAGTAATCATTCCATATATGTACTATATAACGTTCATTGATTTCTACCACACATTAAGCTATCATTTAAAATAGTCATCTGGTGTCTTACATATACGGGAAATTTAAGATCGCGGAAATGATGTAGAGAAAGGAAAGCAGCGAGGGAAATCAAAGACACCGGATACAAGCACCTGGCCACCGAAGATGAAACGTAATGTTTCACTGCACAACGAACCGGAAAGACCAAAGACTGCGAATCTGGAGAAACCAAGTGTGCTAGATCCCGATCTCGTTGACAAGCTAGACATGTCTCTTCTCAGCAAGGAGTTGCTTGTTGACTCGATGATGCGATTTCGTTTGGCAAAAGCAATTAGTGGGGGTACGTCGTCGTTTCCTTCGTCGTCAAGGTACCGACAAAACATTATCGGTGTCGACCGGCAACGACAATGTAGCCCGGCATCGAATGGTGAGTCGACGTGGTGCAGGGGTCCCTTCTCCATACGTCACAAACGACATAGCTACGAACAAATTCTTGACTCGAGGCTTGGTCATATCGACGTGTCTCTGGTATCATCTAGGATGCAGAAGCAAGCGCGCGTTAATGGACAGGATGCGGTTCCTACGAAGAAGAGTTTGGATAATGCAAAACTGGATGACAATAACAATAGGTTGGTGAAAATTTAAAGACCAAAGTGTATAGGAACATTTGCTTATAACAATGATAAAAAAAAAAAATCATACGCGAGAGAAATTTCGAGAAGCAAAATGAATTTAAAGTTAAAGATAAAAGATCAAGTAAAATTCAAATCAAAAGTAAAGGTAAACTCATCTATTAATTAGAAATGGAACAGCCAGCCATAAGGTACTCTCCTTGTCGACGTTGAAGAAGAAGAGTTCAAGACCCATCATACAAAACGATCTGGAGGTGTTTACAGCCTCTTCAACGAAGAGCGCTCCGGAACCTTGCAAAAGCTGCGGAAAACCAGATCAACCGGAGCGGTTTCACAGCCATCCGAAGAGCAGTCAACTCAAGCCGAAGGACAATCCTATGAATTCGAAATCGAAGACAGCGGTACCGAAGACCGTTCAGAAACCTGTTGCTCTGAATTTTCGTAGTGATAAGAACAAAAACAAAGTGGAGGAAATAATTGCTCAGAATCATTCAAGCAACCTGCATGAAAAATCTAATGCATCGAATGCACCTTCGTCAGCGCAAATTAAGAAGGGACCAAGGACCATTACTTGTTACATATGTGGCCGGGAATTTGGTACTGCCAGCTTTCCTATTCACGAGCCCAGGTGCATGCAGGTTAGTAATGAATGCATGATTCAAATTCTTTTTTTTTTTCGTGCCTTTAAATCTTGCAACGACTTTTTTTTTTTT